ATCATCCATGACACAGATAAAATTAGCTGAAATACAGACAGCAAACAACAGAAGGACAGAGTCCTGATGGTGCTCCCCAATGCTCCTTGTTTCAGAGGCTCAGCTGTATCTTCTCTGTCCAAAGCCTGGTGGTTCAATACCTCATTTGAGCCCCACTCTCCTTGAAACAAATGCTCTCTTTTGCTTTGAGGTATGATTAAATTGGTTTTCCATCACTTCCAATAAAAGTCTTATTTGGTTTCTGTTTGGGCTGTGCACTTAGGAATATGTTGTGTGTGACCACCTATCACTACTTTGGAAGTGATGATTCACTGGCTGAACACAATCATGGTGCACAGTGTTCTACCTGATTTTTACCACCTCCACCTCCCCCAACCCCGAACAGGAAATTATTCTGGAGACTTGAATAGCTATGAGCAGTGATGCTCCTCATAGGTGGGATAAAATAAAACCATATGCAAGATGGTTAAAAGGGCTGCCAATGCTGAGCTGTGTGGCTGACTCAGCATAGATTATTCATAGAGAGTTGGGCTTTCAAATTAGAGAGACTTGGATTGGAAAATCAGTTCTATAACTTACCAGCTGTCTGACATTGGCCAGGTTACTTAAATTTTCTAAGCTTCAAATTATGCATCCAGAAAATCCTGTATAATAAAAGTGTACTATGCAAATTGTCCCCTTGACTAGGAGTTCTTCTGGGGGTGGGGCCGGTGGGGGGGAAGGGAAGGAGGCCTTGGCTGGCAGCCCAGCTTCTAGGGACCCTACCAGTGCACGTGCACTGGGTCTCTGGTAGGATGATAAATGACAACTCATAGTATTGGTATGAGAATTAAGTGAATGGATGTATATGGACCAGGTAGCATAAAGCTTAGTGCATAGTAGGCATAAAAGGATAGTGATTAATATTATTCATTAACTACAGGTGAAGAAACAATAACACTTGATGGGTTTTTGTTTGTTTGTTTGTTTTTGCAAGACTGGAATTAATCATGCAAAGTGAAACAAGTTTTCCTTGTTGAAAATAAGGCAAAACCCAGTTTCTATTGTTTCTTTCCATAGGTCAGTGGATAACTTCACTATTCTAGTCTTTGGGTTGATTTTTCTAGAGAGACTTCACCTTGAACAGAGCTGCCTAATGATGCTGCCAACTTAAAGCAGCAGATTGTTCCTAAGTTTTGGTGGGTTTGTTGGCCTTGTTTTCCCATCCAAAAGTTTCCTATTATTATTGCCACATCCCAGTGCTTGTCCAGGAAGAAAAGTTTGATGCCCATCTCTCCCATGCAACCTCTGCTCATATCACTTTAAGTTTTAGCTTAGAAATCTTCTTCAGAGACTCAGGTCTTCAGCCTGGAAACATGTGGTTGAGACCTCACTCAGGAGCCAGCTCTCCTGCTGGTTGGAACTGGGCTAGCTTTGAACCAGAGGTAAGGACCCACTGAGGTCATCTGTTCAAAGTAACAGAGCGGCTGTTACTAAAGAGACGAGCAATTGAAAGTGTCTAAGTGATGTCTATTTGCTCTAATTTTTGTCTACATTCTTCTTAACTACCTACACGCAATATTTGTATCTACACATAAACCAGTAGGTACTAATTATCATAGGCCAATTGATGCCAGCTTAGAGTTGAGAAAATAAAGCACTTAGCTTATTATTTGGGAAGACTTAACCATCCCTTATGTGGCACACAACACGTGAGTACCATGACACAAATTCCAAGTCAAAGGCCCCGTTAATGTTGGGGCAAAGAATAGGGAGAGGTACCTGAGCCTTCCAGAGGTTGTCTGCAAAATTATATGTATCCATCTGTATGTGTGTGTGCGCCTCTTCGTTTGTCTGAACTTTCCTGTAGTTCCATCAAGCTAGTAAGACTTGTACTTTTAAAAAATATATATATTTTTATTGATTTTTTACAGAGAGGAAGGAAGAGGGATAGAGAGTTAGAAACATCCATGAGAGAGAAACATTGACCAGCTGCCTCCTGCACACCCCACACTGGGGATGTGCCTGCAACCAATGTACATGCCCTTGACCAGAATCGAACCTGGGGCCTTTCAGTCGGCAGACCGAGGCTCCATCCACTGAGCCAGACCGGTTTTGGCAAATCTTGTACTTTCATTGTCACAAACGCATTTTTCAATAGTTACTGGAGGACATGTAAGAACTAGACCACACAGCAGGTTATACAGAGCTCAAGGTCTGCTGCCCAACGGAGGAAGAAGGACTTGCCCCTGGAAGTAGCTTGTCTCCCACATTGTGGTTAGGGACTGCCTGAGGGCTTTCCAAGTCCTGGGGACAGAGGATGTGAGATTGCACTTTCCTTCCCCAGAGGGCCAAAGCTCCTGGAGAGTGAGTGTTCCAGCCTCTTTATTTCAGCAAAGACACTAACAGACTCACAGTACTTCCTTTGCTCCTGTGCCTAGACCTCTCTTCAGAGGCACTTTCTGGGAAAGGCAAGGAGGAGTGTCTCAGACCAGAGGACTGCCTGGCTGGCTTGGAGCCAAGCCAGAGTGGCCCTGCAGGCTCAGTGGGTGTCTGTTGTGGCTGCGCCTGAGCTGAGCTGGAGGGGGCTTCTCTTCACAGCGTTCTTGTCTAGTTAGCACCCTGCTGCGAACTGGGAGCCTGCACCGCCTTTCAATGCACTGTCAGTAGCACCGTGTCTATGTGACGGGCGATTTTTCTCAGGTCCCTGGGCAGCACACGACGGTGGCAGGCTCCGTGTAGATCAGAGGCTTCACTGAGGTTCCAGCGTTATCCGAACGCCCTCCCGCGTGAAGCTGATGAGTCGAGCGCATTCAAGTGCAGTTTCCCTGCCAGGTGGTCAAACAGGAGCCATTTCCATTCGCTAACTTTTGCTGCACTCTGATAACGCCATCTGGGCCCTGGTTTCCCCCTTGCCCCTCCAGCTGTCTGGTGGCTGGATTTTCCTGAAAACTTGAAGGGCGGTTCCTCCCAGCACAGCTGGGGACCACGCCTAAGGGCCCTGTCTAGGGCCCAGGCAGAGCCAATGTGGAAGGTTTCCTGGTCTCTTGACATCTTCATATCCAGGCGCCCATGGACCAACACTAACATGTTATATAGTTCCAAGTGCGAAAGAAATGAGTGAAATGCAGGAGCCACATTGAAGAAAAGTGGCTCTCCACTAAACTGTCAATGCCCTGTCAGTATGAGGCTCGGTGTGTTCAAGCAACTTCTAACCCCAAGGGGGTGAGAGGAGGAGGGGGTCTAATTCTGTCCAGATGTGGCAGGTTTACTCAGGGTCCCCGGATTCCAGGAAGCAGCGAAAATGTGGCTGGAGAAAGCCACAGGTTTCCCCATCGCCCGAGCCAAATCCTAGAAGGAGCAAGTGTTTTTCTCCTTTGCATGCTCCTGGAGCAAAAATGGAAAAAGAAAAGTCTGCCCACAGCTTGTAACATTCCCCTCAGCCTTCCTTTGCCTCCTTCCACAGCTCTCTCCACTCTTGCCTGCTCTCCGAAAATAGCAGGAAAATAGTTTTTTGGCACATCCTCATTCAGAACACACATTTTTTTTTTATTTTGCTCCATCCTGGCCAACGCCCCCACCTAGTGGCTTAGACTGCCTGTTTTGCTTCCCTCTGCTGTGGTTTCTAAGCTAAAGAGCGCTTTGCAAAATAACCCAGTCTAACTGGAAGCCTGGCTTGGGTTGGGTGGAATGGGAGGAGGGGCAAGACGCTGCAAATGTGGTGCAAATGAGGTTTGATGTTATCAGAGCCCCTGCTGGGTGCTAGGAAGGGGGCTGGGGGAAAGGGAAGATTGTGTGTTGACTCCTAGCTGGGCTGCGGCAACCCAGGCATGTCCAGAGGACGCCCGCAGTTAAAGAAGTGCCCTCACTCTTAATGCATGATGTGTTTTATTTTCTTCATAATACATAACAGTGTACCAAAGCACGTGAATTACTTGCTCATGCCGTTTTTGCCTGCCTGCCTGCTTACAGATCAGGAATGAAGGACACCTGGGTTAGGGGTGTGTCACCTTGGGGTAAAAGCTCTCTCCTTTCCAAGGATCCCAATTGCTCTTTCAAAAACGGAATGGATGGTGCAGGTAATCTCAGGCTCTAGACTAGACTGAATAACACTATTTAAAACATGTTTACATGTCGCCTGATAAATACGATTACAAAGTAGTTTTTTTATTGGATGCATTCTACCTGCCAAACACTGAGCCAGATCCTGGGAGCTCATAGTTGGGTTAGCTCTCAGGGCTCAAAGGACATTGGACATTCCTGATGCTTTAAAAAACAAACAAACAAACAAACAACAACAACAACAACAACAACAAAACTTACTCTTGTACTTCTACCCTACATGTGTTTCTGTGAAGGCTGGCGGAGGCTCTGAGCACGGGGGATACACTCTGAGGTCCTGGGACCTAGGCAGTGATGCTATTGCTGGGCACGGAATATGGATGATATCCTGATGTTTTCCTTGAAGGTTAAGGAGAGCCATTGGTGGTGCCAGTGGTGATGGCCCTAGAGACGCTTTCGTGTCCTCCTCCTCCTCCTCCTCCTCCTCCTCCTCCTCCTCCTCCTCCTCCTCCTTTTCTTCTTCTTCTTCTTCTTTAATCCTGATGACCTCCCTTTTTAGGCAGGTTGTGAAAAGCAACTGCTTTCTTTGAACTGCTTTCCAAAGGCACTGCACTGCTGAGCAGCTGAAGCAGGAGGGTGGAGCGGAAGGTTTAATTTCACATTCAGTGAGCTTCTATTTGCGATACTTTTTACATTTTTCACACACACAGCTTTTAACTTATTTTTTTCCCCTGTTGACTCACAGTTAGAACGGAGGGATTGAATGAAAAGCACATATTCCTAAAACCCAGATATGAAAATGTAGTTTGTATGGTAGGAAGCGTTAAGCATAACTTGATGCCCAAAGCATAAAAATGCACTGTTGGCCATTTCCTTCTTAGGCTCTATTATCGGGCTCCTCCTTCTAACCTGGGTGTGGCCAGCAGGGCTGCCAGGATAAAATTCCTAAGCGCAGAGGTCAGGGGCTGGGGCTAGCTCCACCGAGCCCTGGCCTGCCTGCTGGGGTGGGAGGTGGGGGGTGGTAGCCTAGGAAGGAACGCAGTGCTTGTGCCCCCGGTGTGGGGCGCGGGTCTAATTGGAGGGGAGCGCCGCCAGCTCGGAAGCCGATGGAGGCAAGGACAGCGCGCCCTCCTCCCCGTTTTCTGCCGAAAATGCCGCACCTGGGCGTCAGGATCGGGAGGGGCCTGGGGATGGGCATGGAGACGGGGCGGTAGGACCCGGCGGGCGCTTCCTTGGCCAGGGAGGGACCTGGGCGGGAGGGAGGGGAAGGGGGGAGGAGAGCGCAAAAGGGAAGGAAGGTGCTCGGGAGCGGGGCTCACGCTCTCTCCGCGCCGCTAGAGTAGCACCACCGGACCTGGACTCTATAAAAGGAGTTGGTCCGTTCGTCCGCAGCTCACCAGCTCCTCCCGGGCTGCGCACGCCGCTCCCCCCAGAAAGCTGCCCGCTCCCCTGTGCCGCGCCGGTCCCCCAGCCCAGTGCGCTCCGCGGCGGGACCCCCAGGGGTGCTCGCGGGGACGCAAGTGGCCGCCGCGGCCACGAGGGGCGAGCAGCCGCCGCAGCCCAAGCCCCCGAGTCCCCCCTCGCCCGGCCCCGTGGCCGCGGGGCAGCTGGCCGGAGTGGCCGGCGCGTGAAAAGAAGGGGGGTGCGGGGGGGGCAGAGCGCCCGCGAGGCGCGGCGCCGCGCGGCTCCCAGACTTCACCCCACCCAACTCTGGCGGCCGCCGCCGCCGCAGGGAACTGCCCCAGCCCGGGGCGGTGGGCGGGCAGGCAAGACCCGGACTCCTGGCTCCTAGCCGGCCTGCACGCTCTGGGTCTCCGCAGCTGGGAAACTCCTGTGGGCTGATTCTTGCAGCTCCAGGAGGAGCGCAGGGGTTAGGGAATGCCCGAGCCTTTGGGGTAAGAGACCCCACACCTGGCGAATGCTCCCTCCTGCAACCATCCCTCGACCCCCCCTCCTCCTCCTCTAGATCCGCGGCGGGAAGCCCGAGCGGAGCGGAGCGAGCCCGGGAGTGGAGAGAGAGGTGCAGCCGGAGCCGCGGCGGCAGCGCCGGGCGCACGGCGAGTGCAGGGGACGCGCTCGCCCAGCTCGGCTGCCTGCCGCGCCCTTGACCTCCCGTTTCAGCTGGCAACCTGGGTGGAGGAATCATTGAGGAGCCTAAGAAACTAACTAGCAGCCGTGCGGGCAAGACTGTGTGGTCTCTCCTGCAGGTCCTTCTCCCTTCCTCTCTCCCACGTCCGTTCCATGCTTCAGGGCTGCGCTCCGGAGCAGCCGGGGCGAGGAGAGACATGGAGAAGAACGGCGCTCCCCCGTGCGCCCCGCCGCCGGCGGGCTCCCAAGCCGGGGTTCCTCCAGCCAACCTCTCCGCCGCCGCCGCCCCTTCCCACAACTGCAGCTCCTCCGAGGAGGACTACGTCTACCAGGACTCGGTGGCCCTGCCCTGGAAAGTGCTGCTGGTCCTGCTGCTGGCGCTCATCACCCTGGCCACCACTTTCTCCAACGCCTTCGTGATCGCCACGGTGTACCGGACGCGGAAGCTGCACACCCCGGCCAACTACCTGATCGCCTCGCTGGCCGTGACGGACCTGCTCGTGTCCATCCTGGTGATGCCCGTCAGCACCCTGCAGACCGTGGCCGGCCGCTGGACCCTGGGCCAGGTGGTCTGCGACTTGTGGCTCTCGTCGGACATCACCTGTTGCACCGCCTCCATCCTGCACCTCTGCGTCATCGCCCTGGACCGCTACTGGGCCATCACGGACGCCGTGGAGTACTCGGCCAAGAGGACTCCCCAGAGGGCGGCCGTCATGATCGCGCTGGTGTGGGTCTTCTCCATCTCCATCTCGCTGCCGCCCTTCTTCTGGCGCCAGGCCAAGGCCGAGGGCGAGTGCACGGTGAACACCGACCACATCCTCTACACCGTGTACTCCACCGTGGGCGCCTTCTACTTCCCCACCCTGCTCCTCATCGCCCTCTACGGCCGCATCTACGTGGAGGCCCGCTCCCGCATCCTGAAGCAGACGCCCAACCAGACCGGCAAGCGTCTGACCCGGGCCCAGCTCATCACCGACTCCCCGGGGTCCACGTCTTCCGTCACCTCCATGAACTCGCGCGCCCCGGACCTGCCCAGCGAGTCGGGGTCGTCCCCCGTGTACGGGAACCAAGTCAAAGTGCGAGTGTCCGACGCCCTGCTGGAGAAGAAGAAGCTCATGGCCGCTAGGGAGCGCAAAGCCACCAAGACCCTGGGCATCATCCTGGGAGCCTTCATCGTGTGCTGGCTGCCCTTCTTCATCATCTCCCTGGTGATGCCCATCTGCAGAAGCGCCTGCTGGTTCCACCAGGCCATCTTCGACTTCTTCACGTGGCTGGGCTATCTCAACTCCCTCATCAACCCCATTATCTACACCATGTCCAATGAGGACTTCAAACAGGCCTTCCATAAACTGATACGCTTTAAATGCACAAGTTGACTTGCCTATTGATTGCATTGTGAGGGGGGGTCCCCTAAGTGGCCTTTGGGGACCATGCTGTGTCTGGTTCCACAGGTAAGGTCGACTCTTCTTTCACTGTTAACTGGGTCTCCTCGGAGTGAGGCGTTGTCTTCTGGGCAAGGGCAATGGATCCTGAGAAGCCAGGACAAGCCCTGGGAGAGAGAGCACTGGAAGGAGAAACTGTGCAAACTAAAGAGAGCGCTTCCCAGCTGTGAGGAGGAGGCTCCCTTTCTTCCCTCACAGCCCAGGTTCAGCACTGGCCCTGCGGCAGCCAGTCACAAGGGGGGTTTGAGACTTAAAAAAAACACCCATGATGGAGAGGCGATCCCTGCCCTGCTCCATGCCCTCTAGGAGCAGTGATCCATGTAGTTGTCTGAACCCTGTCTGAGACAGATGCATACAGCTTGGCAGTACTTGAACTAGACACTTAACACCTTGTGTTTTTGGGGAGAACTTTTATGTTACAGCTTCGTTTAAGAGCAGTTACTTTGGCATCCTTCAGTCTTCAGTCTGCATCTATGTGACCTTGGTTGGAGAAACTTTGTGGATTTGGTGCTTCAAACCCTGTGTGTGGCTTGGAGGGTACAGAGGAACCTTGAAGAGTTAACAGCAAAGTTCTGATGTTAAGATCTCTATTTTTTATTACAATGGAAACTATATGGGATGGGTGGGGTGGAAGGGAGATGGGGAGAGAGCGTGAAACTGAGAACCAACACCTATGATTGTTTTCTGCAGATTGGTGATTTTTTTTTTTAAAGTTCCTACTTAATGATTTTTTTCAAACCACAGTTCTAACAACTCAAACAAAACATTACGCGTGCTAGTGACAAAATCTGCAGATTGCTTTATTTCCCCCCCTCCTAATTTCATGTACCTGGCATTTTACACATTTAAATCCCCGTAAGTGGAGGATATGATGGGTGACTCAGCCCAAGCTGCTCTATTTCTTATTAATGCAGTTGATTAAACTGATGATATTAGAGATACTGCTCCTTAACAAGAAATGTATCTTTATTCCTTATCCAATTCAGTGACATGTAAAGGAGACTGATGAATAGGAATGGTTCTTACACAATTAAGGAATGAAGGCCAATAGGAGGCTGTATATTTTGACTTGTAAAAAAATCTTAAATGCATGAGACTTTTTTCTGATAGTCATTTGCACTCTCCTTCCCATCTGTAACTCATTTGTGTGCTAACATATGAAGTTAACCAAGAGAACTTGCTTGGTTCTCCAAAAATCTTCAAAATGCAGTAAGAACCCCAAAAACTATATCAAAAGAAAAAAGAAAAAAAAGCTTGTTACTTTTACCTTTCTATTGAAGTTTGGGTAGGAACAAAGATCACTAGAAAATGACATGCAAGAACTTTAGAAAAGCCCCCAATAAACTAAAGCTGAGCTGGTAATTCATGGAACCAAATGTCAAACTTTTTAGGTAATCAAGAAACTGATAAGCCTTGGCACCTCAGAAATTTGTCACTGACCTGATACCTCAATGAATATAACAGTAATGATACTTTAAATTTATGTCTTTTAAAACTGCAACAATACTTACGTGTTATCCCAATTCACTCTAACTAACACAGGGCAAGATTTCACACTAAATGATGGAAAAAACAATGCATTATCTAAATAAAAAAAGTAGTAGCCCTGAAGGACCATCTACACAGAAAAAATAAAATGTATGTGGACCATTTAATATGCCAAAGAAGATTTACATTCCCTTCTCCAGAGAGCTATCTGCAGTTGCTACCTTGTGTCTGCAGAAGCAAGTTTGTCTTTGTGAAATGAGTTCACTTCCTGCTTGAAGCTCTTCAATCCAGACTGGAAGACAATAGATATAGAGATCTGAAGTGCACCCTTTGCTTACTATACAGACCTTCATTCTGGGGTGATGACTCTTGAAAGTATACTATTCTAAATTTCGCAGGTAAACTAAATTAAAAAAAAGGGAATTTTGATGAACATTTACGCCAGTTATATGGAGTAAGATAAAATTTTAGGAACTAGATGACCCTGTATTTCTTTTGTATCCCCGGGTTCCTTCATTTTGTTTCATTCGGTGACATTTCTCCTATGGAGAAATCTAGCTTACTACCTATAGGAATGTGCACCAAGCATGGTATTTGTTTTTATGTTATGTTTGTCTTTGTTTATGCAGCTGTGCTTTCTTTGGGCCTAAGAAGCAATTTGGTCAACTTCTAGGACCCTAAAAGGGAAAAATTAATAGAAACAAATAGCCACTTACAAATGATTTCTTTATTTGGTACCTACCGTGATTGTGCCCTCTTATTAATAGAACATGGACAATTTAGTCAAAGGGACTGTTTGCCATTTTGTAGATTACCCACTTCAATGTTTGCTTGACTATTTGGCTGAACTGACTGGATGTGGGGCCTGTTATGTGAAGTAGAAGCTTGCAAACCCCCGTATTTATAAGAGATCTAGAAACATCATCTGGCATTGCACATGATTATGCAAAGTATCATTCATCCCAGGGGTATGTAGTTAGGCTGTTAAGCTCCTTTTCAGTTACTGCTGCCTATAGTATAGTTGTTTCATAAACTAGATAATGGCTTTTTTGCAGAACATAAATGGGAGATGGAGATGTCTATCTTACATAGAAATGAAAATATATTTTCATTGGCTGTTGTAATAACATTTTCCATGTTGTTTAATTGCACAAAACTTCACACAAATATATGAATGTATACTCATCCAAAAAATATGGATATTGTCTTGTGTTTCTAGGAATTTTAGAGTTTCCTTTTTAAAAATGGACACTGCACCCAAGAATGAATTGCTGAGTTCAACAAATTTCCTACAGAACAGTAATCTTCACTTTCTCTCTCTATTACCTTAGTTTCAATCTTCTTTAACCAAAAGGACTATAAGTCACTCAAGCAGTAACTTCTCAGATTATGTGTTTTTGATGGAGTCTTTGTGATTGAAAGTTGCCTTTGGTTTTCCACCTTTCAACAAATGTGTAATTGGAAATGAAATTTAGGAAAATAATAAAAGTCCTTTTTTTTGTGTTCTAAAAAGCTATGGGTAGTAATTCTATTATTATGAAAAGATTGGTTCATTGTATTTTGGGTTGCATTCAGGAGTTTGAGCCTTCAAGAGAGAATAATTGGGATAAATGATACAGAGGAGGACTGGCATTATCACTATGATTTCCCGGATATAGTTAATATCTGTAGGAAGACTTTAAAAGGAAATAGACAGATGGTGATCTTACCTTCTGCAGAGAGGGTAAGTCAGGTTCATTATCACAAGAGTTTTCCAGATCCGGATTCTAGAGGACCTACTCAGTCTCTAGGCTCGGTAATAAGATTTCAAGGTACTGTGTAGTGCTTGAAATACAGAAAAAAGAAAAGGAGGAGCTGGATTCAAAGCTGGCTTGGGGGAGACGTAGGGGGAGGAAACTGACTTATCTGGGCACTGGAGAAGTCCACAGAAAAATAGCTTTTGGAATCAGAAAGTGCTAGGTTAGAATTGGAAATAGAGCATGGTACAGCTGTATTGTTCACCCCAAGTGTAGTCTACTTACAAGGGTTGGAGACTATACAGGTAAAGCATCCATCATAATACCCGAGGCCCTTTTGGATCTCAGCAAAGGATACTTGCTCTTTAGCCAGTATTTCTTTAGCCAGCATTGCCTCCCTTGAGGATACAGAACCCCTGTAGCATAGAAACATGGAGTGCTATTTACCAGAAGTTGGCCTAGGGGAGACCAAACAAGGCTGAGTGGGAGAAACATAACTAAACTAAAAGTGACCGAGGTTTGGAACCTTTCACACTTACTCCTTAGGCTGGTTTATAGTAGCTCTAGTGGCCTAGAGGAAATTGCCAAGGATTTCATTTCCTATAGCTTCTGCCTCTTATTTACTCAACCTCTCTTTCCTCCTCCTTGTCTAGAGATTTGCAGCTGTCTTCCAACAATCCCAAATCCCTCACCACATCTAAATCTTTTCTCAGTGTCTCACTTTCAGCTTCTCTCCTTTTTAATTCCCCATGCGAAGCCCTAATAATCCATGAAAATGTGTTGATTTAATTTTCTTATTTTACCTGCACAGGGCTGATTAAGTAGCCCCGGGATTTTGCGTTATTTAAAAGGAAATTGTTGATCCAAACTAATGTGTAATTAGTGAGGACAAAGACTTTCAACTGAGTCATCTCCTGGAGTTTACAGAAGCCAAGAGGCTTCTGTAAACTCCAGGAGATAAAGTGAGGGTGTGGGAAGTGAAGCTTCTTTACCTTTCATCAAAGCTCATCCTTGAACAGTCCACTAGGGGGCAGAGTGCCTCTGAGTTGTTTAGAGGCTGCAGATGCTCTCACCACTCCCAACCTCAAACCCCCTCTTCTGCAACAGGACAAATGGAATTAACCCTGCATCCAAGAGCCAAGGGAAAGAGGGCTCATCATTTATTTAAAATGGCAGATTTTTCAGAATTGCAAAGTCAGGTAGAAGATCCCTAGAACACACCTAAAGTTGTCCTTTATATATGCAACCTAAATTTTCATATTGGTTGGAGAAACTTGTGGATTCATCTCTAGTTCTGGAGTGATGCTAAAATATTAGTATTCTTTTTCAAATGATGATTTTATTGATTTCAGAGAGAGGAAGGGAGAGGGAAAGAAAGAAACATCAATGATGAGAGAGAATCATTGATCAGCCGCCTTCTGCGTGCCCCCTACTGGGGATCTAGCCAGCAACCAAGGCACGTGGCCTTACTAGGAATTGAACCGTGACCTCCTGGTTCATGGGTCGACACTCAACCACTGAGCAACACTGGGTGGGCTAAAATATTAGTATTTTAAAACATTGCAACCTTTGATTATGGTGGCACTGGGTAAAGTCAGAGAATAGGAGACAACTTATATTAAAAATAAAAGGAATTAATTATTAGTTAAATATATCTTTCACTACTATGTTTTTGTTATTACAGTGTTTTTCAATGTTTCATTGATTTGAGGTTGATATATCCACAGTTCAAATGTTGAACATTTGCCACTTACCATTTCTTTAAAGAGAGGGCTGCTTTTTTGCACAGAAGTGAGGTGTGTTTATATGTCAGTTTTCCCCAGAAGGATGACTTTCAAGTCTGTAATTTTGGCATTTACTTTAAAAACTGGCATCTATAAATGTGAATATAATCTTATGTATCACAAAAATAAATTTCTGTGTTGGAAATGGACCATGTCAAATGAGAAAACAACTATTATGTAGGGTGGGGCAAAAGTAGGCTTACAGTTGTGAGTACTATATAGAAACAGAGTTTGTTCTTTTATTATTGTTTGTTAGTGAATGCATTATTTTCCATATGAGCAACTGCAAACCTACTTTTGCCCCATGCTGCATTAATGCATTCTTCCATAACATCTCAGCATTTTCATTGTGCATAATGGGGAGCTTCTTTGTGACATTTCTCACATCTGTCAGTTAAATTGAACTTTTAATGTCAACATCCACGTTTTAGGATTATGCTAGGATTTCCAATGCTCCTTGAGATAGAACTAACCAGTCCCTGGAGCTGGACCAGCTGACAAAGAGAATGCCTTAACACTAGTCCAAGCATAGTTTGTAAAAGAAAATGCCAATTTCCTTTTTGACTTAATTGCACATATTTCAAAAGATAAGAAAAATCCTTTTCAAAACTACTAACTAAATGACAAGCATGGTCTTATATTATTTCTTGTACTTAAAGTGAACAGATGGTGATATAGAGATCCATTTATGGTAAATGCTTAAAAGAATCTACCCATAGCTTGCTTAAACGATGCAAGAGGGCGTGAGTCACACGCTCCCTGACTCTGTGGGGACATTCCATACACGGATTGTAGATGGGCCAGTCCATATTGGGATAATGAGATTTCAGGGTATTTCTTGCTCACAAGCATAGTGATGGGGCTGCAGAAGCGGGGCAGCTCACAAAGGCCTGGCTACTTGGTCCAGGAGCTGTGCTCAGGGGACTTTTATAAACACATTGGTTGTCTCTTCTAAACCTATTTGGGAACCCAGTTTGTGATCATATCGGTAGACCTACAGCCCTCCTGCCATTCTTATTTCCTTGAAAAATTTCAATGAGTTCAGCAGTGGGCTGATTTGATTTTGTGAGGGAGCTGTTTCGTGACTCTTCTTCATCTTTTCTTCCTAGTCTTGCCTGACGGTATGGTTCTTGAGCTCACACTCTCCTTTTTCAGCTCTTCAGAGGCTTTCCCAAGGAGTATAGCATGTTGGGCTGTTCACACAATGGGAAGTTTGGAATCAGCTACTGGTAATGAAGGCCTTCCCCCATCCTCTGCCCCACATTCACACACATTGATAGGTTTAAAATGCAAGAGCAAGCCTTTGAAGTAAGAAAGCACTGAGTTTAAATCCATGTGTTCTAATCATGAGCAAGTTCCTCTGTAAATCTAATAACACACACCTCTGTGTTTGCAGGTAAAAATTAAATGGGATAATGCAATTGTTTTCAACCTTGACTGCAAATTTTATTTATCAGAGGAGCTTTGCATACCTTTGCTCAGGCCATGTCTCAGACTAATTTAATTGTATTTTTTTTCTGGAGCAGGGCCCAATATTCTCATTTAAAAAATTCTCCTCAGGTAATTCTGATGTGTGGCCAGGGTGAGATCCTCAGTTCTTAGAAGAATGCTGGGATGCGTGAGATGTATGGATGTGAATGGGTCCCCTATGAAACAGAATTCTAGTGGATTTGATATTTAACAGTGGCACTTCTAAAAAGTTAATGGACAGAAGACTCAGCAGGGGAGCTGCTTAAAATGCAGATTCTATTTCAGTAGGTCCAGGGTGAGATTCGCCTCTGACAGGCTCTTGGGAGATGCCTATGATGCTATCCCATGTACCACACTTTGAGTAATAAGGATCCATAAGAAAACATAGCTTACTTACAAAGC